CCCCAAAACCCCAAAACCCCAAAACCCCAAAACCCCAAAACCCCAAACAGTTCGTGCGGTTGAAAAAGAATTATATTTTAATTCCTCATCACTAAATTCAACATGAACCCTAACAACTCCAAAAAGGGAGACGGCAAGAGCTACTACGGCTTTGACTCCACTGGCCTTGAGAAGGCAGCAGCTGCTGCCAAGTACCTCGATGGCAGCTCGAACTCTAAGCAAGCTTATGAGTTGGCCAATAAGAAGGAGGAATCTAAGCAGCTGGAGTATAAAGAGAATATACAGAAATTAGAGATCGAACGGACGAAGATTGCTGAAGAAGAACGGAGAAAGACTGTGCAATATGAGACTGATATGGGGAAGAGGAAAGCAGAATACCAAGTGCAGCTTGATTTGCAGAAGGAAGAGGAAATGTTAAGGAGAAAGGAAGGACTTAGGGAAGAAAGACGGAAAAGAGATGAGGACAGCATCGCTAAGCAAGAGCAGCTGAAGATGAACACTATTGAGTATGAATATCAAAGGAAACAAGAGCTCAAGCAGATTGAACTCCAAATGGAAAGAGATGAGAAGATTGCCATGCAAGAGAAGAATCAAGAATTTTTGAATAAGCTGTTTAAGAGTGCTGAGAAAGAGAAAAGAGAGACTATGAGGCAAAGTCTTGTTACTACTTTCAATCTTGCTGGACAAGGAATCTCAACCTTCTTTAGCTCTCCTAAATATATCTTCAAAACTGCTTATTTATCAGCAATGATGTTTGGAGCTTACCAATTTACTAAAGTAGCAGCTACAATGGTAGGTACAGGATTTATGGCAAGATTTGGAAGGCCTTCACTCGTAAGACAGACTTCAAAACTGTATACCACTAATATCTTCGCTCTACCTTGGCTCCTAATGAAGAGATCTTGGCATAGAAATCTTAGAAGAAAAGAATCAAATCTTCTTGAAGGAGTCATCCTAAATGATGAATTAGAGAGTCAGTTAAGACAAATCTCCTATGCTGTTGTTAACAGAAAGAAGCATTTCGCTCCAGCTAGGAATCTTTTATTCTGGGGACCTCCAGGAACTGGTAAAACACTTTTCGCTAAGAAGCTAGCATTGAAGTCAGGTCTAGATTATGCTATTATGACTGGGTCAGATATTGCTCCTTTAGGAGGACAAGCTATTAGCGAAATCAATAATTTATTTGACTGGGCAGAGAAAAGTCCAAATGGAATGATACTCTTCATAGATGAAGCAGATGCTTTCCTCAGAAGAAGAGGTGGTGAAGAAGATTTGTCTGAGCTCCTCAGACAAACTATCAACTCTTTCCTTTTCAGGACTGGTTCTCCATCTTACAAGGTCATTACCGTCCTAGCGTCGAATATTCCTGAGCAATTGGATAATGCTGTTCATGACAGAATTGATGAGATCGTTTATTTCGGAAAGCCATCGTTTGAAGAGAGAAAGAACATGCTCATGCATTATTTGGTTGAATTCTGCCAACCTCCACAAACAACTACTGATAAACTTAAGTTCTTCTACAAACATCCTAAGAGTATCTACCGTGGAAAGAAACTGATCCGTATGGAAGGAGTAGACGGTGAGTACATTTCTGATATCGCAAAGAGGATAGATGGATTCTCTGGAAGAGAAATCTTCAAAATGGTTGTCGGATGGCACGATGCAGCTTTCTCAAAGCCCGACCCTGTACTCACACCTGAATTTATGGAAGAAATTCTTCAAAGATTCAAAGATCAACATGCTCAAAAGGAGAAATGGACGAAGAGTGAAGAAAAAATCCTTGAGAAAATGGTATAAATATTCTATTAAATTTAATTCTCAACACTCACTTCTGAATGGGGTTTTGGGGTTTTGGGGTTTTGGGGTTTTGGGGTTTTGGGG